CTAATCTCCCTCCTCTCTCCTTCGTCTGTGTATGATTATCTCATCTCATTCTGTCTGGACACGATTTTGATTATTGGTAATCATCAGCAGCTTGATATTATGGGCTTACATTGTTGACAAGTGTCTTCACGATCTGGGCTCATTGCAATTTGGTATCGGAGCAGTTCTCCTGACGATGACGAGAGTCACACGTGTGCACGCTCCAGGTGGCGCGCAGGTAAGTGGGCATGCACATGTGTGCTGAGGTAGTGATGACTTGACAAGAAGTTAACGTCGGAGTTGCTGACGTGGTAGAGTCTTCACTGGCGAGAGAAGATCCTGACGTGGCTGTTGACGTGGCAGTAGGGACCGCAACCGGGAGATACCGCGCGCCAGCCTGGATCGCGATAGTGAAGTGGCTTCGCGATCCCTTGCTGACGTGGCATATCATGTGCCGCGTCTGAAGACGTGGTTGTTGGTGATTACTAATGTGGCATTCTCACGCTGCATTAGCAGCTTATGCGCGACCAGGTCTGTTACAGAAGCTGACATGGCCTTTGGGAGAGTTAGGATTGATTGCTGACGTGGCAAAGGAGAAGTCATCACACATGTCTTCTTGAGGTGTTGATTTCCTGCTGGCGTGGCATCGGTCTCCATTGGCTGACGAGGCATTGTCCAATTGGCTGGAATGGCGACGATATCACGACACGACGCGTGGAAGTGGCACGTGGGAAGGACGGATCACACATTTGCTGACATGGCATCCCTTTATTGATTGACTGGACACTAGTGCGGACGTGGCAGGATCTGCTATGTTAGCACTCCAGGGATGACATGTGGCAGGCACGTGGCTGCCAAGTAAGAGAAGCACTCTGAAGACGACGGTGGTACGGTTGATTGAACGACTGATGAGACAGTTGTAGTGCCAACTGTCAGGGAGGGTGCCTCATTGCAATTGGCACCTGGATTGACTCAGCAGAAAGAAGAAGGGTACTGACAATTTGTTTGCTGTAGTTGTTGGCATACTTACCTTGTCATTTGCTGTGTTGTGGTGTTGTGCATACTTACTTGTGTGTTGTATCTGATCACACGGGCCTGAGGTGGTACCTGTACACTCTTGTTTAGGACGTCATCACACAGACAGACAAAGAACAACAATAGTTAGAAAATAGAAATAATTGTATTTTTTCTTTTTCTTCGGTTCTCTGAAATCTTGCTGTTGTAGAATAGTGTAGCCATGGAATTTATGATTGTTGTTAATTATTTATTGTGCGGCAGACGCACATCACAATGTCTCATTTCTAGAATTGTTTGAAACTGTCGGTGCTTACTCGTTTTATTCCTTTTCTCTTCTACCCCGTCTCACTCATCTTCAGTATTGATGAGGAGACACCTGAACCACGAACAAGGCAACAAGTGGATGAACGTAAGAAAGTACTGTCTAGCCGCTTGGACCAATTTGAGTCTGAACTTTGTGGTGTCGGTCTGGAAGTTGAGTCCCATGTACGTACACTTTGATTTGAGAGCATTGAGAGTTGCTCTCAAATCAGCAGAGACTGGAACTGATGTCATCAAAGTTCAAGAAACACTTATCCAGTGTCATCAGGCACTTGATAAGTTTGTCCTTGAGCAGCTCGCAGAGATCAAAGGTAGAAGGGAGGAGAAGAAAACAGTTGTGTCTGAAGACGCCGTGGACGAAAATATCAGACAATTGGAACAAACACTTGAGAGGGAAAAGAGAAAGAAGGAAGAAATGAGGCGAAAAAGAGAGGAGAACGAACAACAAGCACAAAAAGTTCAAGAAATCAGACAAATTGTCATTCAGACCGAAGGAGAAGGACAAAAAATCTCTTTGGCTCAACTTGTGACTTACCTCACTCACCTGCAGATAAAGCTTGACCAAACTGTTGCACGAATTGATGATGTGGCCGTTGGATTACAGACAATCACGAACCTGGTCAAAAGAAAGAACCAAGTGACAGAAAAAGTCAAACGCTGGCAGACACACGATCACTATCTCGCAATGTGTTAATCGTGTCAAATGTCGATTTCGCACCAAGGAAGGGAAGAAGATTCTTCACGAGGTATCCTTCCTTGTCGAAAAATAATTTACACTTTGACTTGATTTTGGGAATGGATTGGCACGAGGAAGCCAACCCAGATATCAAGTTCAAAGAAAAGATAGTGCAACTGCGGGATGCACACTTAGAATTGAAACCTGTCAAATTGTTTCATAAGTTTGACTCTGACTCTAGTCTCTCTTTCTACTGTATGAGTTATCCAGCATTTCGATCAATGGTTTCAAAGAAAAAATTGGAACAGGAAGTAATGGTGGTTTTGGTAAAGAAGGCAGGTGAATGTTTTACTTCCTATCCTCCCTTGATTGAAAAAATCTTAGATGAGTATAAAGAATTACTCACTGAACCAACAGGAATAACTGAGCGTGCAATTACGCACACCATTGAAATTATTCCTGGTAGTAAGATTCCCAAGGGCCCTATTTACCGAATGTTTGCTAGGGAACTTGAGGAATTAAGGAAACAACCGCAAGACTTATTTGAAAAAGGATGGATACGCCCTAGATCCTCTCCTTATGGTGCTCCTGTTTTGTTTGTACCTAAGAAGGAAGGTGAGTTACGTCTTTATATATACTACAGAGGGTTGAATGCCGTCACTGTTAAAAATGATGAACCGCTTCCTCGCATTGACGGCTTACTTGACCAGTTACAGGGATGCAGATACTAGCAAGATCGACTTGAAATCTGGGTATCACCAGATCGAGGTGGAACCCTCCGATCAGCATAAGACCGCTTTCCGGACTAGGTATGGCCACTATGAGTTCGTGGTAATGCCCTTCAGATTAACGAATGCCCCTGCCACTTTCAAAGGTCAATGAATGACTTGTTTCGTCAATGGTTGGATAAGTTTGTCATTGTCTATCTCGATGATATTCTAGTGTATAGCAAAACACTATAGGATCATGAGAAGCACCTTCGTCTGGTACTAGGGGAGTTGCGTGAGGGCAAGTTTAAGATTAACTCAAAGAAGTCTGAGTTTGCTAAGTCCGAAGTGTTATACCTAGGACACATAGTAAACGAAGAAGGTCTAAGGCCCGAAGAGAAAAATATATCACCAATTAGAGATTGGCCACAACCTAAGTTTATTACTGAACTGCGATCTTTCCTTTGTTTAGCTAGTTATTATAGGAAGTTTGTCAGAAACTTCTCATTGATTGTTGCACCAATGCGAAGATTGTTAAAGAAAGAAACTATCTGGTTGTGGGATAAGGATTGTGAATCTTCCTTTTGGAAATTGAAGTATGTATTGACTCACTACCCTGTCCTTAAGATTGCTGACCCGTCTTTGCCTTTCATTGTCACCACTGACGCAAGTCAGTATGGGATTGGCGTTGTTCTCCAACAAGATGATGGCAAGGGCTATAGGCCCATAGAATTTATGTCTAAACGACTACCGTGTGACAAAGTCGCCAACTCCACGCATGAAAGAGAACTCTATGCCTTAGTCTGTGCGTTGGACACATGGAAGCACTACCTGTTAGGGAGGCCCTTTACTGTGTGTACTCAGACCACTCAACCCTAAAGTGGATAAAAACACTGTCCAGACTCTCTGGCAAGTTGGTAAGATGGTCTACATTCATTGACACCTTTGACTTTGAACTCAAGACTATCAAAGGTAACTCTAATGTGGTTGCAGATGCTTTGTCCCGATGCAGTAATTTCTTTGGTGCAATTGTCTCTTACGTGGATGTTGGGAATGACCTGAAAGATCAGATTCGCCAAGGATATGCTAATGATTCTAACTGGAAACCAATCATGGATATCCTTGTACGAGATACGTCCCAACTACCCAACTATAGACTGACTGATGGGTTGTTGTTCTTGATTGACCAAACTGAACAAAGGTTGTGTATTCTTGATAAGGAAGAGATTAAGAGTCTGTTGATTGGGGAATGTCACGATTCTGAGGGCCATTTGGTTTCAAGAAAACATATGCTGAAGTCTGAGAACGTTTCGAATGGAAGGGACTTAAAGAAGATGTACTAACATATGTTTGTACCTGTTTAGTGTGTCAGAGAAACAAGCCGTCGCATGAGAATCCCCTTGGACTTCTCAAGCCATTACCTATACCAAGCGAACCAGGTGAGTCTATCTCAATTGACTTGATGAGTCTGGTTAAAAGTCGCAATGGTACTAGTCAAGTGATGGTAATTGTGGACCGTTTCTCTAAATACGCTATGTTTGTTCCCTTACCAGCAGAAGCGTGTACTGAACTTGTCATTCAGAAATTTCATATGCGATGGGTCACTGAGTATGGGTTCCCTAAATCCATTGTGTCTGATTGAGATGTCAGGTTCACTAGTCTGCTATGGCAAAAGCTGATGGAAGCTTATGGCACGCGGCTGGCCATGTCGTCAGGGAACCATCCCGAAACGAATGGCCAGACTGAACAGATGAACCGTCTGTGCCAACAACTTTTGCGTATGTATGTTAGACCCGATCAGATTGATTGGGACGAGAACTTACCCAAAATTGTGAGTGCATATAACAACAGTGTCCACACTTCCACTGGACGAACCCCGAATGCACTTCACAAAGGATGAAAACCTAAACGTCCCATTGATGTATTAAACCGGAACCAGTTCCTTAGGTTGCCCCCAGGGACCCGAGAATATGCAATATTGTTCCAGGAGGACATTCAGAAAGTTAAAGATAATCTAAGGAAAGCTCAACTACAGATGATTGAACAAGCCAACAGGCACCGTCGACCGTCTACATTCAAAGAGGGTGATCTGGTTTGGGTAAAATCTAAAGAGTTTTCACTAGAGAAAGATGTGTCCCAGAAATTGCTTCCTGTCTATTTTGGACCCTGGGAAGTTCTCAAAGTAACTGGAGATGCAAAGGGACCGTCTTATCGCATTGATGTTCCCCCTCATCTCAAAACATATCCTGTCTTTCACGCGTCCAAACAGTTGCCCTATGTAGAAGGGAATGGATTTCCAAACAGACCCATTATGATTCCGCGATCTATGGAAGGCAGATATGATGTAGACAGAATCATTGAGCATGGTTACTTCTCTACGAGAGGACGTGGACGACCTCAGAAGCAGTTCAAGGTACGTTTTAAGTCTCAGGCACCATTTGCGGACGGATGGTTTAGTAAACAAGAACTACTTGAAACTGCTCCTGATATTGTCGCTGCTTATGAACGAGGGTTCAAGTCTTAAATATTTCTGCGGTGGAACTCGAAAATGGGTCGGCAGGAATGCAGTAACCCTATTCAGAAGTAGCCTGAAGCCCAGAACTCAGCCCCAGGCAACGCAGACCTGAGTTGGTCTGCGCTGGGCTGTGTGACCAAGACACGCCCAGGCCTG